GCGCCCCCCGCCTGCCCTTCCCCTCGTGCCCCCCCTGCAGCCTCTGTCGAGCCCTGCTCCCCACTCGCCCTACAGCCCCTGCACCCCCCAGCCTACCCTGCCCCTGCGGTCCCCTGCACCTGCAGCCTCTGTGACCCTTGCTCCCCACTCGCCCTGCAACCCCTGCAGCCTCTATGCCCCCGCCTGCCCTGCCCCTGCTCCCCCACTCCCCCGGCAGCCTCTGCCTGCTGAGGGCTTCAGACGCTCGGCAGCGCGGGTCCCTGCAGCCCCGGCCGCAGCTTCCTTCCTGCCGCCGAGCACATTCCCCGGCCTGTCTGTCCCCGCCGGAAACAGCTCCCATGGCGCCGGGTTCCAAGCTGCGCGGGGCAACGGGGCCACAGGAAGGGTCCCCCAGTGGCCGGGGGGTCCCCGCCCACAAGGGAAGACCGAGCCCCCCCCCGTTCCCCACCTGAGCATTGTAGCTGGGGCAGCTGGGCTGCGCTACGGAACCGGGGGATTGTGCTGGGCAGACCCTGGCTTATGCTGCCTCCCTATTTCCCCGGACATGTCCGGCTCTTTGGAAATTCCCCCTGGACGGGGATTTGAGCACCAAAAAGCCGGACATGTCCGGGGAAATCCGGACGTATGGTAACCCTAGGTAAGGTTGCAAAAGAATGCTAAAAAGTACCAAAAGACCCTAACGCTCTTATTCCTAATAAGGTCACTATTACTCAAGTATATGTCATTTTAATTCCTAATATGGTTATTATTACTTAACTGTGTGTAATTTGTTTGCGGTTTTAAGCTTTAAAAATCTCCGCGCGCTTTGTATCGGGGGAGCAGTTCCTAATGGCTGCTACCCCCAACGCGTTGGTGTGTATTCAATAAACGGGCCTCAGGGTTGAGTTTCTGAACTAAAATCAATGCGTGGGTGACTTTTTCCACAACATTACTTTAGGAACTGATCACATACAGTTCATTGCAAATATTCAGTAGTTAATATTGAAAATACAAGCTGCATAGATTACTTCTGATTGGTCACATATCACATGGTATTGCTGTTCTCTGATTGCATGAGTGATTTTACTAAAATCAGGCAGAAGCAATTCAGAATCACTTTATGGTGTTGTAGCAGATAAAGGGATTAAGGAAATCTAGAGAACATTAAACCTTGCTTTTAATGGAATCTACAGGTATTACCAAACAGTGGCTGGATGAGATGGCAATTGATACATGGCAAATGTGCATGCATGCAAAATGCTAGTTGAGTTTGGTGTGGTGAGATCCTTTCTGGCTCATTTAATTGCCTCTGTGCTTTCTGATCCTTCGAATAAAGGACTTTATAGAAAAAATAAACTGGTTTCAGAGTAGCAGCCGTGTTAGTCTGTATCGGCAAAAAGAACAGGAGTACTTGTGGCACCTTAGAGACTAACAAATTTATTTGAGCATAAGCTTTCGTGGGCTAAAACCCACTTCATCGGATGCATAGAATGGAACTATTCAATTCAATTGAATCTATTTCCCCATGTTATAATATCCTCACACCTTCTATGGGTCATCTCGATTATCACTTCAAAGGTTTTTTTGTCTCTCCTGCTGATGATAGCCCATCTCAATTGATTGGCCTCTTACAGTTGGTATGGCTACTTCCACCTTTTCATGTTCTCTGTATGTATAAATATCTTCTTTCTGTGTGTTCCATTCTGTGTACCCGATGAAGTGGGTTTTAGCCCACGAAAGCTTAGGCTCAAATAAATTTGTAAGTCTCTAAGGTGCCACAAGTACTCCTGTTCTTTTAAAAAAATAAACTGTATCACAAGATGGAAGTTGGGTCTGATGATTGGAGCAGTCAACTGGGCATCAAAATCCTGGGTTCTATTTCCAGTTCTGCCATTAACTCCAGCAGTGGCCTTGGGTAAGTAAATTCTCCTTAATTCTTAGCCCTACCACAAAAGGGTGCTGTTAAGTACTCTTACTAAAGTGCTTTGAGATCCCAGGATGAAGATTCAGGATGATTATTTTACCCAGTTCCATCCAGTTTACCATCAGGCCCAAAAGATTTGCTCTATCTTTACTTGGTGTATGCAATTCGGTCAAGGCAAACAACAGTGTTCTGATCAACAATGTTCAAGGCATGAAGACCTCCGGGAAGCTGAGTCATTTTGCAGTCCTCAACAATGTGTGCCATGGTTTTGGCTGCCCACATTGAGAGAGCGGACTGTCTCTAAAATACCACCGAAATTCTGCCGCAGCACAAGTTCCGTGTCTGACACAAAACCAACTGAGAAGGCTCCATTGCCTTTGTGGTAAATCAAACCCAGGTTGATGCTGAGTGTGCTCTGAGAAAAGATAATTATTTGTCACTTTCTCTGCAGACCATGAAGCTCCCCATGTGTCCTCTACCATAAATCCCTCACCTGGTAAACTTACCCACAATGAGTGCTGTGAGGGCAGACGATCTTGTGGTGGATTAAAGAAGTCTTTAGTTAATGGCAGATGTGGCATATCACACAATTTCATCACGAGATTTGCTCTCATAAGCTCAGAATGATGGGTATTTGATTAAACATCCTTGTAAGCAACAACAAATAAAGCAATATGCATCAGGAAGGTTCCATCTCTCCTAGCTTTAACAGCAGAAGGATTTAATGCAGGCATTACATTATGGGAATGATTGTACTATAAGAGTGAGGGTAACAATTGTCATGTTAAATGCCAAAAACTGAAATCTCCACACCTGAAAACTGGCTTTGACAGCTCTGCTGTTGACGGACTAATACAGACTCTGCTGTGATATGCCTGGATGACAGATGGCTTATTGTCCCTTTTTAAAATACATATTTATTGATCTGATAAGGAATATGTTATTTCCACAGACAGCTGAAAATTAATCTAACCGAATTGTCATCTTAATAGCCAATCACAAGGGATCTTTTTATTACCCTGAGGGATAGAGTGACTAGATGACTCGATTTTATAGGGACATTCCCGATATTTGGGGCTTTTTCTTATATAGGCGCTTCTTCTCCCCTCCGCCCCCACCGCCCTCACCACACACACACACACCAATACTGTGTCCCGATTTTTCATACTTGCTATCTGATCACCCTTCCCAGGGATCACACAATTTCCCTAGAATTCAAACCAATTCTCTGGCAAGGGGAGGTCGCTTCAACCAATTCTGTTCGGTCCCTGCCCCACTGAGGTTTGGGTCAGGGCTGTGTGCCAGTCTCTTGGCTGCAAAGTTACTGCACCCCACACTAGACCCAGGATCACGTGTGGGTCTCCTTGACAGACAGGATGAAAGAACAAGGAATGCCTAACCTGCTCCTGACAGGAGCAGTGCTGGAGGGTGAAGGCAAAGGAGGAGCTGGAAGAGGAGAAAAGGAGAATGGAAAGACGATCTGAGAACCACTCAAGCAGGATATAGGATTGTCATGATAAAGCAAAGCACTTGTGCCTTGCTCTTGGGAGCCCTGAAATGTAGCTGCTCAGAGATTGAGACAGAGGGAGGGATGTGGAGGTGAGTTGGGGGAACACATGCGTTTCAAAGCCGTTCAGGCCTGACAAAGGCAGGCCTGAAAAGTGTGGAATCTGTCCCCTACTTGCTCCAGCTTGGAACACCAAGAACAAATTCCAGAGCAGAAAATCCATTGTGGTATTGAAGAGAGAAAGAAAGATAAGGAAAACGAAGAACTGAATTATTGTTTGTTTGCTTGTTTTTTTGAAGACACAAAAGAAAAGGCCCTACATGCACATTCTGCGGACATCTGTGCTGAAGGGGAGTGCAGATAAGATGTTTACAACAGTCTCAGCAGACAGGAAGACAATTCATATTCACAAAGGGGGAAAGATGCTATGAGGGAAGCTTATGCCAGAAAGAGTAGACTTGATATGACTATTGAACACATCTATGGCTGAGTCAAAAACCTCCTATCAAAATTTTCATGGCAGAGTGGTGGATAATAAAATTGTAAATGAAGCATGGCCCAGCTTGTCTTCTCCCCCTGGCACCAACAGAGGGAGGTAAAAAGCGTTATCCCTCAAGCCCATTGTTGGAGATACACAGAGATGTGCGTGTGTGTGTGTGTGTGTGTGTACACACATGCCTATTGGTATGTCTATTAATGAATGGACATTAGACCTGGGCAAAAAACGGAGAAACAAATTAGGAATATTTTCTTTACATGTTTCCCTTTTTTACTCTAAAATTTGAAAGGTAATAAAAGCACAAAGAAAATTGACCAGCTACATAGCTATCCTGGTACAGTATTTTAAATTCTGAAATGTCATCAGAACATTGTAATTTGATAAATTTTGACCAGATATAATTAATATACAGTTATATTAATATGTAAAAACTTTGTTGTGAAACAGTTAAAGTTGCCTCCCCACACACATGATGTTACAAAAAAATATTTAACAGAACATATCCTCTGCAGCCCACAGCCATGTTACCATTTGCACAAGTACTGAACACCTGACATCATACTTCACCCCCTCTTCACCACACTACCTGTTCCTATCACTATTATGAGCTTGCTACATAGCAGTGGTATGACCAGTCCCTCAAAAATACACACACACATTTTTCTACAGCAAGCTATCTTGATGAACCAGTAAAATGTGAAAAATAGAGAAACAGCAAGTTAGAAAAAGAAACCCAGTTCTTTGGTGGCGGCTAAAAGAAGGAGATGAGAAAACACGATAAAGAAGAACGAAAGAGAGTCCTTTGACTTTTGATTTATCTCCAGAAATTCTTCTTCAAGTGTGTCAAGAGACTTGTGTGTTTGTGTAATGGATTCCTTTGCTGTTTCTAGTCTAACTGCTGACCCTTTGCAATCTTGTCTGAGCGCAGTCTATTGCTTCCTGTAATAACAGATGACTTCTCGAAGCACTCCCTCTGCGCTTTAGCACCACAATCTCTATCAGGCCAGCCTTATCCAAGTATGCTTAACTGGTTTACTTACAGTTATGGCAGGTTGCTCCCATGTAACCCATTTCGCTACAATCACAGTAAAAGGTGGTCCAGGACTGGGAGCATTTTCCTCCATGTTCACAGTAGTTGGGCAAACATCTAATTGGAGATGTTAAAAAAGCCAATTAATTTTAAGCATTTCAGCATTGATAGTACAGGCAAGGAAATGTCCCGTCCCCCCCGACACACACACACACACACACACACACACACACACACACACACACACAGAAAGCTTTCTGGGACTGCATCACTTCACACAATGGCTGAAATACTTATTTCTTCCTCTGATCTATGATCCACTTGAAACAATAACATTCAAAACCAATACCCTGTACCACACATAATACATTCAAAGAGAAGCCCTTACTGATAACAAAATACCCAGCTTGTTTTCTGTCTCTAAGAAACCAAAATGCCACTTTCATTCTGATCTCAGATAAGGAGAACAAATACCAGGTGAAAAAGCTATAGAAGATTTTTTTTTTTTCCCAAAAGAGAAGGCTTTCCTTCCCCGTCCCCTGCCTTTCTCCTTTGGTCTAATGTGGTTTGCAGCTATACAAATTAAGCTGCACTTCAACTGTGGAAGCACAAACAATACATAAGCCTCAAAGTAAAGGGAAAAAAATGTGTTTATGAATTGTGTAATCTCTCCCCATCTCTTCATTTTAGTTCGTGTTCCTCCAAAGCATTATTGCCAAGCGATTATTAAAAGAAGAAAGAGGTATAACAGTATGCAGCAAGGGAATTGAATAGAAGTAAAAACTGTGGGAGGCAAATCCAATCTAAAGTGAAGTAAGAAATTCTGATCTCCATTACACCGGTGTAAAACCAGAGTCACTTCGTTGACTTGGAGGGAGATACACCAGCGCAACCAAAAGCAGAGCTTGCCCCAATGTTTTTATTTTCTACCGTATATTGGATAATCTCCTTGATGTTGTATGTTTATTTTTTTGAGTCAGTAACCTGTTTATACACAGTGATTCAGTTAGACCTGGTCTACACTGGGGGGCGGGGGGCGGGAATCGATCTAAGTTACGCAACTTCAGCTACGTGAATAACGTAGCTGAAGTTGACGTACTTAGATTGACTGACCGTGGTGTCTTCACCACAGTGAGTCGACTGCTGCCGCTCCCCCATTGACTGCCTGCGCCTCTCGCCGAGCTGGAGTACAGGAGTCGACGGGAGAGCGCTCGGGGGTCAATTTATCGTGTCTAGACTAGACGCGATAAATCGACCCCCGCTGGATCGATCGCTGCCTGCCGATCCGGCCGGTAGCGAAGACATACCCTGTGAAGTAGATGGGAAAGACAATCCATTCACTCTACATGCACTAAAACTGCATTATCTGTTCCCATGCTGTGATCGCCCAGCCCTTTGCTCTTTCCCGCAGGATAGATCCTCAGCTGGTGTAAATCAGCGATGAAGTCAATGGAGCTACACTCATTTACACCAGCTGTAGCCCTGGGCAGGAGGGAGCATGCTCAGCTGCTCCGTGGGGATGGCACATGCCAGTTTTTTTTTCCTGTGGTTCGCGTCATCGTTTACTAACAATCCCACCAGGTTATTTAACTGAGCCCAGCTTGCTTCCTCTAGGGCTCTGACGAACAAATCACTCTTTATATTCATACCTCGACAAGGGTGTCACTAAGCATAAAAGTACCAGATGCAAAACGCTTGTGTAACCCACACACCTTCTGGGTGTGGGGTTCTGTCCCATCTAGTGGCACTGAGACCACGTAGCGAGAGAGAGAAAATGATTCTGCTCTAAAGGCTTAGCTAACAGCCAGTGGGCTTTTAGCTCACATGGTAGAGGCTCATTCACTAAACTCCAGAAGCCCCAGGTTCGATCCCGCCGGCCGACAACTGGGGGTCTGTCGGCGTTACACTTGCAGAACACATGCAGCGGTTGTCTCTACAATTGCTCCACCTTGTACATTTACATCAATCCTACTTGAGTTCAAGAGCCATCTAGATCCGGATTCTCATGCTGATCCAAACACCGAGAGCCTGAACAGCATCTTTTAGGGAACAGGAAAAAAACAAAACAAAACAAAAAAAACCTGTGTTCTAGGTCCAATGCAATTTCTGCAAAACCACCACCACGTTGGCACACAAGGGTGCCACCTTACAATGAAGAGAGCAATGTGAATTTTGAGTTGCACTAGAGTGAAACATGAAAGGGAAGAATGAACAGGCAAGTCTAAGCTGAAGCTAATCTCTCCTCGTACAGAAGTTGTTCCATACCCCTAATCATTTTTGTTGCCCTTCTCTGTACCTTTTCCAATTCTAATACATCTTTTTTTGAGATGGGGCGATGAGAACTGCAAGCGGCATCCAAAGTGTGGACACACCATGGATTTATGTCGTGGCATCGGTCTTATTATCTATCCCTTTCCGAATAGTTTAGAGCAACCCCATGACTGCTCCAACTCACGGCAAGGCTACAGCTAGCAAAGAGCAGCCTGCAAGATCCAGGAACTGCAACCCTCTCCCTGACACCTCCAGCCCTGTGTTTGGATGCAGGGGAGAATCTGATCCAGAGAGTCTCTTGTCTGAGATAATATGTCCTATGGAAAGTTCCTGATGGCCAAATTAAAAGCGACCCGTAGTTATTTTTAATAATAATGAGATGCACTTCCCTGCTGCGTGTGCTAATGGCAGTGATGAAAATATTAGAGGTCGGGTATGACAGGCTGTGGAAGTGGGCACTGTTGCTATCCTCCACCGAAACCTCTCTGCAAGATGACTCCAAAGATGATTCCATGCTGTTGCAGGGAGCAGGGAAAGGATGGAACAGTGAGGACAGCTGCTTTCTGTGACAATTCCCCTAACCTCTGTGAAGGACACTGTTGACATTCATTTACCTGCTGCCCCTCTCTGTAAGTCGGAATGCCCCACCCCTGAAAGCATATTCAGGGGTAGCAACCAGTGTTTATTGACAGCGGGATTCCTGCAGGAGTTGCCCTGCCAACGGGCTATAGGGGAAGTGGAGATCTAGGAGTCAGAGAAGAGGCACAAGACCTCTGGGTCGCTGGCCATGAACCTCAACAGAGATCCATACACATCTCAAGGTTCCACTGGCGATAGCGTCCAGACTCCTGTCTCTTATGGGAGACAGGAACCCTGGATGCCCCAAAGGAAGAATAAAGAGGAAACATTTTCAAAGTGGCTGAGTTAGTCCCACTGACTTTCCCCATGGACTCAGGCGCTGTTGAAAATTTTACCCAAATGCCATAAATCCAGCCTCTTGCTGTCCTGTCCCCTTCACATATGTACCCTGTGTAGTGGCTGACAGAGCCCATCAGTGTCATTTGGCATTTGTACAACGCCATTTCGCAGAAAGATCCCAAGGCACTGTACAAATGCCTCCCAGCACCCACGAGAAGCAAGCATTCCTATCCTTATTTACAGACAGGCAAGCTTAGACATGGAGAGATGCAGTGACTTTCTCAAGGTCACCTGCATCTTCAGGAACGGAACACAGGACTCTCGAATGTCTATTCCCCTTCTTTAACGTCTTTTCTGTAAATTCCTTAAATCAACAACAGTTCAATTGAAAAATATATCTGCACCCTCCCCACTTCATCCTAGAAAGGCAGGGTCGTCTAATGGATAAGACATTTCAAATCTCTGGCCAGCTTCATGGGGCAGAATTTGTCTCAGTTCTTATGTCCTCTGGGGCCCTGGGACAACCCCTAATACAAGTTAGAGCAGCCATTAGGCTACCTTAAGTTTCACTCTTGCCTCAGTGGATCACATTGGGCTTGCAAAGGTGCAGATTTGTCCACCTTAGCCATGCTTCCTCCCTCTGGCGACACACGCCTTCCCCTTCTTAGCCCCTGCACCAGAATGCTCCTTGTATCCCCTGCTTCTGTGGAGGCTTGTACATCTCAATTATGTCACCTGTAAGAAGGTGATAGTAATACCTACCTCAAAGGGGTGTTGGAAAGAATACTTACTGCTTGTGCAGCACTTAAAAGATGTGAAGTGCTAAGCACAGTACTATGTTAGCATCGTTATCATCACTTACAGAATTGTATCATTAACTGATGAACACATTTTCTGCCCATTTAAGTTACCTCTTATTAATTAACCCCATGCAATAAAGTTAATTACTAGTAATTTGAGGTTTCCCAAAGGTCCATGTCTGATGCTTAGCCACATATATTCTAACAGAACAGCTTTCCTTTAAATGCTTTAGAAGACAAATGGAAATGAAAACTGACCTTCAGCTTTCTAAAGACACATTTTTCTTCCCCCAATAATGCTCAAAATGCAAGTCGCATTGTCTGTATAGGCTTTAATGCTGTTAATAAATTCAAAATTAGACTGTTTGCATTCTTTAGTCTATTTGCTTTAATTAGCACCAGCTGCATCGATCTCGTTTTTGGTCAGATAACTAACTCTTCTAAAAGCTTCTGAAACCAATTTCTGTACAACTCCATGCTAAGAATTACCATAATCCCATTCTAGTCCAGCAGTTGTGTGTTCATTAGAAGTTTAATTTATCCTAATTGTCATCGAAGCCAACATTAGGAAATAGCCATGATGAAAATTAATCAAGGGACGGATAAATTATTGGATGTCTAATTCCACAAATGTCCCAGATTCCTGGGTCCAATTACATTATCTTTTTGTATTACAAGAGTGCCTACTTATCATTATTTGTATTGCGGTAGTGTCTAGATGCTTCAACTGAGATCACAGCCCCATTATGCTAGGCCCTGTACATAAACATAGTAACAGACAGTCTCTGCCCCCAAGAGTTTGCAATCCAAATAGACAAAGGAAAGGTTATCCCCATTTTTACAGATGATGAGAAACTAAGAAACTTGCCCATGATTTCACGAGGAGTCTGTGGCAAAGACAGGACTCTAACTCTGGTTCCCTGAGTCCTATGGTGAGACTTTCACTATAACCACAGGATCATGGCATCACATGGCAATTGATGTTGACAATGTTGTGCCAGTCAGGCGTAATTTCCTTCTTTGGAAGAAGCCTCCGAATTTAAAGGATAATCAAGCTGGAATATACAGTCATTGGAGGAATAGCCTGAACAAGAGAAATAGCAATCTATGGGTAAAACACCCTGCTCT